AATCTTTTAAATATCTTGTTTTATTAGTGTTTGGGTAGTTTGTATTTTGATTAAGTAGTATTCTGCCCATTATTGAGTTGTTTCTGAGTTAAATTTAAACAACTGTTGATAAAAAGAACACGCTAAAAAGGCGTAGTTTGAAAGGTAGTTACGGACCAGAGCAGCTGCGGTCACGCAGCTAACTACCTGGTGACGCAACTGTTCATATCCAAAAGAAGTTGCGACTTTTGTTCGGACCCACCTTTACGTGACGGAACTGTTCGTGATCAATAAGTTTATTTCGTTTATGTTTTCAATAAGTTTATTTCGTTTATGTTTTGTTATTTAATATTATGTTTTAAATAAGTGATTGATGAATCTGGGAATTTTGATAAAGTCATGAACAGATGCACGCAACTAGGAGTTCCGTCATGCAACTAGGAGTTCCATCACGCAACTAGGAGTTCCATCACGCAGCTGTTCTTCATAGAACAGCTGCGTGACGCAACTGTTCTAGGGTTCCAGAATAGTTTTTTTTTTTTAATCCAATTTCGTGTAATTAAATAAAAGTTTTATTTTTTAATTCAAGAAATAACCAATAATGGGCAGATTATGATTATTCATATCAAATAGGTTAGTATTTTATTATGTTATAGGATTTTAAGGGTTTATTATGTTTTAATTAAGTAGAATTATATTTGCAAATTCGGTGTGGCCCGCCTTAAACCATAAGGCAAGAGCGGGTCTTAATTATTTGCTATGGGTGGATGATTGATTGTGATTATGAATGTTTATGAATGCAATGAATGCGATTCTATTTGGGATGATTAATTAATTTGTTCCACATAGGAACTCGGTTCGATTTTTTCGGGTTGGGTTTTAATTAAATAAATGGCCTTTCTAAAATAAAATTAAATTTAAGAAATTATAGACGTTAAAAGAGGGCTTGAGTTCCCGGCGTCGGACTTTCCAACAGGCGACGTAACCAAATTCTCTTACCTAGAAATCGCACGTGGGGTGCGCTTGACCAGTTTTCAAAATATTTGGCCTTTAAATAAAATTGGGTTAAATGAAGTCACTTTTATTAAAATTAAAAATTGGAAATGGTCCCATGCCGAAATAATGATCGGTTGGCGACTCAAAATTGTTGTAAAGACCGATTTATCGCGCATCGTATACCAAGTTTATAAGACCGATTTATCGGCATCGTATACCAAAAAGGTTTTTGTCACCATTTATTTAAATAAAAATCACATTTCCACATTCATTCATTTCAAATTTGAAGCAAAAAGTTTTCCGAGGTCCTTTCGAGGTTGGGATCTCTTGGGCGAAAACAATATCCAACTGAAGAAATTCGATGAGATATATGTTTACAAGATAAAATCAAGGTGCTTCAATACAACAATCCATTTACCAATTTGAAATTTCTTGGACATTCATGTCCTCATAACGGTTTCTAAGTGCTTATTTTTAACTGTTTATCATGATATTTAAGATATATATTCAATAGTTTATGAAAATTCTTATTGTTCAAATACATACTTGTTCTTTCCTTCTACCCAACAGTATTAATACTTATCTTATTTATTTTATGAGTAGACTTTAGTTTAAACTATTTTTTTTTCTGAAAACCATCAGCTAAAGGCACAATCCTCATTGGAAAGAATGCACTGGTTGATCAGGCCACTACACTTCTTCCAATTTTCCTTGTGTCTCCCAAAGCTTAATGGAATTCTTAAAATGCTATTTGTTTATAAATACTTTTACATTTCACCATTTAATATTCCTTATTTTTTTTATGCATTTATGGATCTGCAACCGTTTTAGTGCACGGTCCATCCATCTGCACCCAAACAGTATCCAATCCAGTGTCTCTCCCTTGTTGGTTACGGCCGATCCAAACACAGGAATCTTATACACCATTCCTAAGTTCCGTAATTGATTCCTAAGGCCCAACTTATACTCTGATACCATCTTTATCATGAACCGTTTCCAAGGGCCAGACATGCACTAGGGCCTGGGTGGGTTTAAGGCCTCCTAGGCCCATAGTAAGCCTATTTTAGTTAAACCCATATTATATTCACAGTCATGGCTTCAGGCCCAATAACTATATTCTCATAATCAACTAATATTCTCAAATCAAAGCCCGATTTTTGCATAGCCATAGACTCTATTAAAAATACCAATTCATTATAATAATACATATATCTATATTATTCAATTACAATCCATTTGGAATTACAATTGCGGAACTCCATAATTTACAGTCCTTTACATTATATCCTTAATACAATTATTAATAGTTTTCTATATTGTGTTTCAATGTGTAAATACATTATGGAACTTGATGCAATTTAATACAATTCATATAATTAATACATATATCTATATTATTCAATTACAATCCATTTGGAATACAATTGCGGAACTCCATAATTTACAGTCCTTTACATTTATATCCTTAATACAATTATTAATAGTTTTCTATATTTGTGTTTCAATGTGTAAATACATATGGAATTGGTGCAATTTATGACATAGATATCTATATAGTATTTCTATATGTATGCACGTTTCATATAAATATCATATTATCGTGTATGCATGAATGCAAATGCAAGAGTGATGCGGATTATCTAACTCTACTCATAGTTCATTATTCTCCTTAACAGGACTATCTTTATGACATTGATATCTATATAGTATTTCTATATGTATGCACGTTTCATATAAATATCATATTATCATGTATGCATGAATGCAAATGCAAGAGCGATGCAGATTATCTAACTCTACTCATAGTTCATTATTCTCCTTAACAGGACTATCTTTAGTACTGCTTCTTTTCAGCTTTTGTCTTGGTATTCTGTAACTTTGTAAACATCTAGAAAGAAAATTCTAAGTAAGAATTCTAACCCGAGCAATTTAATTCTCATTCAATAGCTAACTTTAGCCATTATAGTTGCTTACCTAAACTTATCAAGTTATATATTATTTATGTATTCTAATTGATAACTTTGACAACTCCTGTGGCTCTTTTGGAAACTAATGTTTGATAATAATAATAAATACAAATACAATGATAGTCGTAATGTTAGTAATTTTGGTAGTTATTCCCATTAATGATATGATTATTTTAATTCTTTATTAAGCATTGCCGAAAATTCGGCAGTAAATGAGGACAGCTGCCCAATCACATATTAAAGGAACAAGCCAACACACAGCTCATCTATCGGGCAATAATCTCAATCAAAATTCATCCTCTGTCATGACATCACTATATCAATTCATAATTAATTTACATTATATTTATCAATTGTCTGAATTATTTCTGTTCGATTTGAATCGATTTGATCCAGCTCAGTGATTTAGTCTGGTTTTCATCTGGTTTGAGGATTCCAACTGATTTTACAAGTCCGGCTTAATAATAATAAAATATCTCCTTTTAAATTTCATTGGTTGAAATTAAAAATTAAATTTTTAAATGAAAACTCATTGAAAATTAATTTTCGGGTTATTTCATTAAGAAAGTGCCACATCAGCATATAGAAAAAAATATTGTTTCTCCTTTTTATATATATAATGATCTGTTTGACTCCAAAGAAAATAATGTTTATAAAATTGGAAAAAACTATAACTATATATTTTTGTTTGGGTTCACTTTTTTTTGGATTCAAGAATTTGTATAATATTGCCACCACAACCAAAATGATTGCCATTATTAATTCAAACAATCTTCTCATTTTCATTTTTTTACCTGTCAGTAAAAATAATTTATTATTATTTTTCATTATAATTGTATATAAATATTGATTTCGAATTGAGGGTAGGGGGTTAGGGATTTCGTGATGGTAGAGATTTAAACGACCCGAGCCGAGTTCCAACCTGCCTGGCTTGAAGCTCGACTTGATAGGATTTAGGTCGACTCGAGCTCAGCTCAAAATCAACGAGGCTGAAAATTTTTATCTCGAGCTTAACTCAATGAAAATCTAGAATGGAACGATTTTGAATTTCGAGATTTGTTATCGATTGCTTGTTGAATCCATCACAATATTCTTTAGAAATCTTTCTCATGGTTCAAAAACGTAAAAACGTAGAAACCCAGAGGAGATATTAAATGAATGGAATTGGGATAAGGAAAAGAAAGAAATGAATTGCTTAGATCATATAAAGAACGAAACTTTCTTTACTTGGATGGGAGAATATCAATTCAACATAGATCCAAGATAGCTCGAGCTCAACTTGAGGCTCGAGTTCAATTCGAAAAATTTTAAGCTCGAACTTGCCTCGAATAAATATAAAATAAATATTATACGTATATATAAGCTCGATAAGGCTCAAAGAGCTTTCGAACTGAACATCATTAGACTCGAGCTCGAGCTGGAGCCAAACTTTTTTGAACTTTATTTGAGTTGAGCTCAAATAGCTCGCGAGTCGGCTGGGCTCATTTACACCCCTATATGATAGCTTGATTTTCTCTTTAGACATAAATTAAGGTTTTAAGAACTTGCATTTATAAATTAGGGACTGAAGGATTTTGTCTAGAGATTGGGTTGAACTTTATTTTAGAACCACTTCATTATATAAAAATAGAATTAGGTACGAAATAGCATTACAAGTAGCTTGTACAGTAAAATATAATACAAAATTAACCAATTATATTTATTTTAATATAAACAAAAACTTATGCATTAATATCATATAAAAAAAATTAAAAGAACACAAAAAAATAGAATATATTGTACATAGTCAATATGTACGTACGTCATAAAAAAATTAGTAAATTATAAAATAAAATAATTAATATACCATTAAATTTTAAATATCATTACCAATCAGGAGTGGTTTGATTGGTTTCCTATATCTTGTAGAAGATGTAATGAGTGAGAAATTTCGAATTTGAGTCTTAGTTCATTATTTATGTTCATTGGGCCTCCCATGCATAAAAAAAATATATATATATTTTAATATCATTTTGGATGAATAGAAAAATATAATTTCACTTCTCAAATCATATGCGGCGTCACTAAGCTATCCTACTTTAATACATTGAAAGGGGCAAAAAAAAGGGTATCTGGAGTTCTGGTTGAAATACGACGTCACATATATGCAAATATATCCTTACTCGGCCATTGACCGCCGTGAATCTGATGCTTCTGCTAGTTCAGGAGCTATTCATGCATACAATGGAGTGGCTTCTCAGCCATTGATCCTAGCATCTCCCAGAAGGTCAGAATCTGTGGTAGTTTCCATTTCCCTTTTATAGTTACTTCCTCTTGAGTGATTGACTGATTGTGCCTTTCTACAATCTATTCTTTCAAAATAATTCCTTCAAAACGATTTTGGAATATTATCACTGTATACATCATCTTCTCTCTGAAGCTTAATTGGTCACTTTATTTGCTGTATTCTTATTCTATACGATCTCCTTGTAAATGTGTCTTGGTAAAATTTGGAAATTATATCATCTGGGAATTGGTTTTCTCTATGCTTAGTTTCTTTGCTTGTTTGTACTGTTTCCAGAAAGATAAGATAACGATGGATGGAAATTCAGCTGTTCCTAATCAAGATATAGAAGGCACTGCCATGCAATCCATGGGTCAGATCACAAATGTTTATATCTGGGACATGGATGAGACCCTTATACTTCTCAAGTCTTTGTTAAATGGAACATATGCTGAATCTTTCAATGGTTTAAAGGATGTGCCTAAGGGTGTAGAAATTGGGAAGATGTGGGAGACACGCATTCTTCAACTCTGTGATGAATTATTCTTTTATGAGCAAGTAAGTCTGTCTCACTTTCTTGGTTTGCAAAATCGTTGAATTTTATTCAGTACAAAATCTGGGCGGATTTTTATTTTTTGTTCTTTTACTGTCAGCTGGATGAATTGTTAACTATGTTGAATTTTGGAAATGCAGATTGAAAACTACAACATGCCTTTTCTCGATGCCTTGAGCCGATATGATGATGGCCGGGATTTGTCTGATTATGATTTCAACAAAGATGGATTTAGTCCTCCTTATGACGATGCAAACAAAAGAAAGCTAGCATACAGGCACAGAGTCATAGCAAATAAGTATAAACAGGTATTGTTGACAGATAACTAGGAAGTCCTGCCACTGAACGCCTCTATCTATCATGTTATTCATAATGATCAAACAATCTAAATTAGGAACTTACAGAAATGGGATTGTCTTCATTGTAATCATTTCCATGTTCACTACGTTAAGAAATCAATAGGAACAACCAGCCTTTTAAAATGGAGGTTTTACCATGTGAATGGTCAGTTGCTTTTGCTTAGTTTCCTAGCCATTTGTTTTAGCAAAACACTAATCCACATTTTGGTCATTATCTGTTTTTGTCTTTTTGGTGGAACTTATATACTGACTTTGTTGCAGTTATTTATAGGTAATTAATAAAATCAAATTGGTTTTCAGAGATAACCAATTTTATATATGGAAATAAATAATTGAATAAGCAATTTTATTTGTCTCAACTACTTATATGATCTAAAGGATGAAACAGCATACTAATTATACAATACTTTTAATCTTCTATTGCCAGCCAAACCTGTTAATAATTCTTTCCTTCAAATCACATATATAGACCTCACATTCCTCATGAGCGATTGTTAGAGGTAAATTAGATTCCATGAACCAAGCATTATCTTAGGTTAAGCAGGATAATTTAGGATTAACATACTGATTAATGTGTTAAAATGGTTGACATTCCAGAGCATAATCAGATCATAAACTTATTTCATGTGGGTCCAGCACTTAAGTTGAGTCCATGGGTTGTATCATATAGTTTCATAGTTACTTGAAAGCATGGAGAAAAGTTTTAGCAACAATTTTGGTATTAGCATCTTGATAGTTGGTGATAAATTTGGTGCTTACGGTTCGAATAAGAGACTATAACTTTTGCCTGAAGAAATAATCTGTTCTTAAGTGGGAGATTTATCAATCTTGTTATTAAGGTTACTCATTCATTTCTCTTTTTGATTATACTTTAGAGTTTGTATTCATATGTTTTTTTTTTTTGGTCAATTGGGAAGCCTCTCCTCATTAATTTCCACCCATCTCAAGTAACTAGATCATTATGCATAAGGAAGTTGTTTGCTTAGGTATTTGATTCTGGGACTTCATGGTTCCAAGTATTTGGGCTCAGAACCTTGAACCATTGAGGTAATAATGACTAGGTTCGAACTTTTGGCTTCCTTATATCTCAAGTTCTTTTGCTTTTTCTCTCAGTTTTGGTATCTTCAATTATATTAACTTTTTAAATATAAGGCTGATCTGCTTAATTTATTAGCATTTTTATTTATACACAGTTCTATAAAGGAACTGAATTGTCAAAGACTTTATCAAGTCCATTGAGAAAGTGCCTAGATTTAGGGGAATGTATCTTTTTAAATTGCACAAAATAAATGTCAGAATTGTTTACTTTGAAAACCACCATTCTTCCCTTGTGACTCCGTTAATCCTTTTGTTCTCTTGACCTTATTGAGTGTAGTTTATAAATTTGACACTGTCCTTGAGTCATTTCATTATTTCATGCACCCAAATTTTCACCCAACTTTACGTCATCCACCCGCCAGCCCCCAAAGAGTGGTAAGAAAAGTAAAGGAAAAGGTGAAAGAATTATCTATTTTATATTGCAAACATCTGGTAGGCTTTCCTTGTATAATTAATGAGTCATTAATGAAATGACTGATCAAATGTTTATGCACTTTCAACCCTTAAAATTGCACTACCTGACTCCTTTTTTTTTTCTGCATCATGCATTTGTTTAACAAGCTCCAGTAACAACAGAGTAGGTCATATCTGGTGCTTGAAATTGCTGCTTTATTTTCATTGATTTTTGCAACTTCTTTTCTCCTCTGTTGCTGTAGAGCCTGCACTTTTTCTGTTTGTTTTTGAGAAAACCTTTTTACAGTAGACAAGCTATTTTATAATTTTAGAAATTGAAAAACATTATATGGTGATAAAGGTTGACTGCTCTTAAATTTCAGGGTTTGCCTGATGTTCTTGATCACGAGATGATGAAAATCTGGGATGAGTTGTATGACCTAACAGATGAATACACAGATAAATGGCTCTCCTCAGGTAGGTTGAATCATCTTATAATTCAGCTGTGCACCAGTTTACTTATTTTCTTTTAGAGTTTCAATTGACCAAAAGGGGTGGGCATGAGCTGCCAATTAATGCCTTTTGGGATGTTATGCCGTTTAAGTTAAATAAAGTAAAAGAAAATCAAAACATGTGACAAGGGAAGAGAATTGTGGCAAATCAAAATTGTATGCCTTAATTTAACCCTAATGTAATGTGATGTAGGATCTAGTAACCTTGTTGCTACCATAGTTATTAAAGGCGCATGGCGCCACTAAGGCACAAAGGGCTGCTGGAGCCTATTACCTAGTTAAGTTAAATAAGTAGAAAAATCAAACATGTGACAGGGAAGTATGTATATTTGTTGTGTATAATATAAATTGTATGCTTATTATCGGACTAATTGGGTTTAAATGTGATTGATAGGATCTAGTACACCTTGTTTGGCTACGATAGTTATTAAAAGGCGCATGGCGCCACTATAGTGACAAAGGGCTGTCTGGAGCCTTAGGCGCTAGCCTCACTAAGGGTGGATGTGGTTGTGTAACCTGTAGATTGATAGTGAGTGCACATAATAAAAAGGATAAACTACTCTCAGATAATTCTGCAAATATTATATTTTATGATTCTAATGAAAATAATAAAAAATAATTAGTAATAAAATAATGTAGAAACATGAAAGACACACTAACAGGATAATCAATATATAATAATTTTGACTATACACTGACAAGTTATATATTTAATGTCATTAAAGTTAAGGTACAGAAAAGAGTATAATCAAAAATGAAGATAAAATTAGAATAGTATTATAGAATGCAAGATTATCAGGAGGAAAATTATTGTATAAGAGTTATATTCTGGACTGATGGGGTCTTAGACTTAGATTGCAAAGTAAGGTGAGTGCTTAGATGAAGGATGGAGGTTTGGATCTATCAAATTGCACATAACTGGCTTTTTGTGTTGCATATTTCTTTATATTCTTTTATTATTGTTATTTAATTATTTTGTGTTAAGCTATGGTTGCTAGCATAGCTTTATTATGAAAAATAAGAACCTCTAGATATGATTCTGTTTCTGGAAAAGCAAAAAATAGAAAATGCTTGCCCGCTAGCCTTATCTTCGTATATGGTCCCTTTGGTGGCAAAAAATTAATGATCGTCGCTATAAATTGGCGACCATTTTTTATTGATCCGCTCTCTTACCCAGAGGCCCGTATTTAGCTTGTAGTTTGGTCGGACCGATTTATTTATTTTGTGTAAGCTGATGTTGCTAGATAGCTTTATATTGAAAAAAAGAACCCTAGATGATTTGTTCTGGAAAACAAAAAATAGAAAGGCGCGCCTTTCTTGAGCCTTTGGTGCAAAAAATGCGCTAAAAGGCGCACGCCTCTACCCAGAGGCGATAGCTTGAGTGAAGTCGCCCGCCTCAGGACTGTTGAGGCGCAAGCCCTTGAGCCTTAATTCACGCCTCAGGCGCACCTTTTATAACTATAGTTGCAACTCCTATCTATGCACTGATATTATTATTGCATAATTTTTGTTGATGTCTTACATATGCTACCTATACAGCTAGGGTTGTTGTTTTATGAATGTTGTGAAACCATCATTTATCTTAAAAGTTTAAATTGGTATAGAAATGTCATTTTAATTGTATGTTCTGCTATTTCTGGCCTCTTCTTCTGCATAAGCTGTATGTGCGGTGCATGTCCAACTTCTCATTTTGAGAGCCTGGCCTTTCTTTTTCTTTTGCCTCCTTTTTTGTAAATTATTTTGATTAAGCCAATGCATTGCTCTAATGTTTTTGTTTATGATTCGAGGTTTTTCAAGTTTTAATCCTGTTTCATAATCTGAGACCATGTATCTATCTACTGACTCTAAATGGCTTCTGATATGTTCTCCCTAAATAACGCACAATGATAAGAAAACCTAATGTTCTTGATATTTCCACTATCAATGGAAATTCCATAATTGTATTATTCTATATTTCACTCAAGTCTCATCTAATAAATACTCTTCTCTCTTGACCATTCCATTTTAGGAAACTATAAAGCATTCTTGTTTTTCATGGTTAGGAGATAAAATTGGGTTCCTTTTTTTTCTTTGTGGGGGAGGGGGGTGATAGGAATGTAATTACGGGCCCAAGGCCCTATTTGGTATATTCTAGAAGAAACAAACACACTGAAGGCAGGAAGTTTGGGAATCAAGAAAGAAGGGCACGTCAGCAAAGTTAGTTATGTCCCTGATGCATATATGCAGTATGATCTTGAGAGAAAGGGCATCTTTTAGTGAGTAGTGTTTTGTGCAGAATCTTCTGCAACGGGCTGTGCCTGGGGGGTCGATTTTATCACCCAATTATCCTTAACTTTTCTTCTAGCAGTAGCTGGTTCTGTTATTTCTTATTCCTTACATGTAATTCACCGACACATCAATTAATCAATACAAATCAATTTCTCTCTCAATCCCTTCCCTCATCTTCCAGATTTAATCCTCTGTTTATGTTCAAATTCTTTATTTTTCATCAACGTTCACTTCTCTAACATTGATTGGGTGATAAATCGACCCCCCCAAGCACAGCCCGTTGCAGAAGATTCTGCACAATACACTGCTTGCAAAAGATGCCCTTTCTCCCAAGATCATACTGCATATATGCATCAGAGGCATAACTAACTTTGCTGACGTGCCTTTTTTTCTTGATTCCCAAACGTGCGCCGGGGGGAGGGGGGGTGTGTGTGCTCCTGATTTAAGCAGAATTAAAGAAAATAAAGGGAAGTCAACTCTCCATAGGGGAATAATGGAGAATAAACAAAAAACAACCATACATAAGGCAATGGGATGTGAATATAAAGATGTAATGGACTTTTACCTCATGGAATCTACCTCCTATGAATGGTAGCTTAATTAGGGCTTCAAGAAACGAAAATTCTTTACAATAAACGATCCAGAAGAAGTTCTGCTTCCCATTTGGACGCAAGCCATTTGCCCATGATGAATGCCCTTGGCCAGCCAAATGTCTTGTGGAGGAGACAGAACCAGCCTGGTCCTTGCATCTAGCCCCTGTTTCAAGTAAAAAACATGAATTTTAAACCGCATAAATTGAGTTTGTGGATTTTATTATCAGAACATTTTAGTAATGAAGAAAGAAAAGACATACATTTGGAGGATATCCACTGCCCAAAGAGACTAGATGAGTTCAACATAGGAACAGAGCTAATGAAGTAAAGCCATATATATTTGACATGAAATTCTGTCCAAAACTGATGTCTTTTTTCTTTCTTTCTTTCTTTCAAACCTTGTATGCTCCACAAGGAAGTAAAGATGAAAATTCCATACACTTCTGCATTGGATCCGAGAAATATTGGATCTAAAAATGTAAAGAAAATTGAAGAGGGAAAGAAAAATACCTAAATGGAGAAAAAGAAGTTTCTATTTTGTCAAAAGTTGGAGATCATTCTAGCACATACTGTTATTTGATATTCTCATTAGTAAATCTATTAATGTGGAAGTTAAAGGGAAATCATCTTAGCGCCACAGTTTTTTGTACTAATAGCGGGTCAGAAGGTGGAAATTAGATATTTAAGAATAGAGGTGATGTACACAACCCAGAAGGTCATGAAATTTTAAAAACAAAAAGAAAAAAGATTTTGTCTCATTGTGAAGCAAATAATCAGTAGAGGTATCAGTGAACTAATGGATTGGAGCCAACATTTTTATAATTATTTAGGTATTTTGTAAGGTCAAGATATCAAAGGGACATAAATATATGATTGTGAAATCAAAGATGAAAACCCTGAGGCAAACTAAACTTTGAAATATAGAGAGGGAACATATGAAGGAAACAAGAATATTCTGATAGCTTCACAGGAATCTATTAGAAAAAAAATCTTCAGGCAAGAATGAATCTATTAGGAAAAAAAATCTTCAGACAAGAATATCTGTGATGCAACTTGCAGGAAACATGGGGCAAGAGCCGCTAAAAAGAATTTTCATTGACAATAATGTGGTTAGTTCAATGTTGATCTGGAGCATGCATCGAGGCCTGTTGTATTTGTAGAGTTGTACTTGTAAGGGAAAATGCAGGCCTCCTAGAAAAATGAAACCAGTCAGCTAATCTGAGCTTTATTCCGGAGAAACCTCATTTGTGGGTAGCCTTGATATGCATTCTAGATTTGGGGAAGGTGTTTGGGATAGGTGAAGGAATAAGGTCTGAATATATCCTATCCTGCCCACTTAATAAGTTAATTTAATATACCAAAGATTATTTATTTTCGTGTAGTCTTCTAAGTTATAGAATTCACTCCCTTCAAGTCTGATGATGGTCTATCTACAAAGTGCAGGCCTGAATCTGGTGAGATTTAAATTTACCTCTGTTGATTTTTGCTATATTCACTTAAGACCCAATAGCATCTACAAAATGATGATGATATTTTGTATGTCAAGAAAGCAGATCTGAAGCATTAAAGACAAGATCCTTTGAACAGAAACTTCATTCACAAGAAAATCATCGGTGGTGATTAACTATATTTGTATAAGGATTTTTTTTTTTAATTCAAAAACTTTTTCAAGCCTGAGAAACATGAAATTTTTGGAGACTGTTGATCACATATTTCACATATAGCTGCTGAGAAAAAGAATGCACCAAAACCTCAGTGTAGAATATTTAAATATTGATCAGGTATGAGGTTTGATTGTCTTATGTTATGATTGGACAACTGATCAACAATTTTTTATTTAATAGAGTATTTTGGTATTCATGAATCATGAACACCGTATTTGCCATTTTGTGGTTGTTTTGTTTGGCTCCTTATCACTGCTTGGCAGTGTTGGCCTGAAGAAGAGCAGAATGAAGAAAAATGTATGATTTACTGGGCCCCAACTAATTTCGTTCTGTGGGTATTGTTTCTTTATCTACAACTGTACCACTAGGGTTTATCTCAGGGGTTGAATTAGAGTGTGAAATTTGGCATCAACTTTCTCATTATTGATAGGTTATTGCCTCTTCTGAGAGATAAAATGCATATATTTTGAAGATTCCAGCTAGAACTTATTCTTGTTTTGATCTCTAATATGAAATGTGCTCTGATCTTTTGCTCTCATGGTTGCATTAACTAGTATTACTTATACTATTCCTCTTTGTCACAAATTTAGCACGGGACTTCTTGGAGCAATGTTCAGGCAGGAAGGAAGATCCAGCAAACTCTCTTGCCTCTGATGGTGGGATGGTCAACCATCTCGATAACAAACCTGAGCACATAAATGTGTTGGTGACTTCTGGATCATTGATACCCAGCCTTATTAAGTGTCTTCTTTTTCGGCTTGACAATTTGATAACACATGGAAATGGTCAGTCATCTCCTTGATCTCATCTATGTTACTGCAGTTATATTTCCTTTTACTTGTCCTTATTGTGCTTTTCATGGTTTGTTTATAGGCTAAACCATAAAAAGAAAACCCAAACTTTGCATCTTGTAACAATTGCACCTCAAATCCAACTTAACCCCTTTGCATCTGTGCCTCACAACTACTGTTTTCATCACCTTCCTTCTGATCGTAATGGTACTCAAAAAGCAAAGTTTATGGCCAAACTGAGTTTTGGTTAGTTTGGTTTTGATGAATTTCAAACTAAACCAACTGATACACAAACTTGTTTTCCATATTGTTGAGGCAATTTGATGTGATTAGAACACCATGTTTAAACTGCATAATGAGAAAGCATAAAATTTGCGTCAAGTGCAAGCAAGATGGTGAAACCAGTGTACCATGGAATGAACATGAAACAGTGGAACTTCTGCCATTAGATGCAAAAATGGAGTCAGAAGATTCAATTGCAGGACTACACTCACATAATTTATATATTTATCTATCTATCTATCTATCTATCTATCTATCTATCTATATATATTTTGAAAAAAAAAAAAAAAAAAAAAAAAAAAAAAAGTCAGAAGATTCCAATTGCAAGGACCTACACTCACATAATTATTATTTTTATCTATCTATCTATCTATCTATCTATCCTATCTATCTATATATATTTTGAAAAAAAAAAAAAAAAAAAAAAAAAAAAAACAAGAAAAAAAAAAAAAAAAAAAAAAAAAAAAAAGAAATTCAGACCTTTTAAGCTTAAATTATGTGGATTGAAATTTTGGGCCTTAACTTATACATCCGTTAAATGTGCTTGACAAGACCGTTGTTTCCTCAGTTTACAGTTCATGGGAAGCAGGGAAAGGGAAACTCCAATGTTTTCAGTGGATTAATGATCGATTTAATGGTCCAAATGTTCGTTTTTGTGTGATTGGGGATGGATGGGAAGAATGTGAAGCTGCACAGACCATGCAATGGCCGTTTGTTAAGATTGATCCCCGTCCCAACGGTTCTCACAGGTTTCCAGGCCTCACATTGAGAACGCTAGGCTACTATTTTGCTGTTGTTTATGAGAGCTCCGCTGCTGAAAATGACGAGTCATAATCTCATCTATGATACATGTTATCTGTGTTCTTTCCAGGATTAGTTTCTGTAGTCTCAAAGGGTCAACATTATGAAGTCAATATTATGAAAATCAGGTACATCAGTTATATACACGTTGTTCAGAAGAAAAAAATGAGGGTGTATTTTTTTTTTTTTTTTTAACATTTTTTTTTTTTCCCTTTTCTTTTTTTCCCTTGTGTCCTTTTTTTTTTTTTTTTTTAACGTTTTTCTTTTTTCCCTTGTGTCCATCAATTTTTATCATCAGATGCAATGGCTTTTAATGCTTCCATATTTGTATAGGTCACTTTATTCTGCATTTGAGGCTATTTCATACATGGTTACTACTTATTAGAGTTATTTAAATTTATACTCCATTTATCTTCAGAAAATAATTTGTTTATAAAATATTTTTCGAATTTTCCGATGCTAGAGAGCTGATAAATGGTAAATATGTTCTTCGTCAAAAGGAACCATTTTTAAATAAAATTACTTTCCGTTTTTTTTTTTAAATATTTTGTGGAAAGTAATGAATTTATTATTGCATTTGTTTATAAATATAAATCGTTTTGAATAGTTTTTTTTGCGCATAAATATTAGTCTTTTCGAGAATATTAACCGAGTAATTAATAAACTTTTTCAAATTAATTAATTAACATTTAGTTAATATAGTTAAATTATAGTTTTTGCTTTGTTCTTTCATAACATATCCTTGTGTTAATATCCACTAAATTAAATAGTTCATACTAGTTTTTTAGGTCTGCGCAATACCGCGGATGATCATCTTTTTTAGCAATGGATTGATTTATATCATAAATAATTTTACACCTTTGCATTAAATTTAGAACAATGTGTATCACATTTAATTTTAGAACAATTTAGAATAATTCACAAACCATTCTGCATTTATATCACATGATGAAGTAACTAATTATACAAATAGGTAAAAATAAATTTTGGCCATATTCATATTTTATAAATTAACATGAAATTTATAATAACCTACGCGATGTATTTTTACTACAAATTTATAATAATTTATAAAGTAGCTGTAAGATACATTCACAAAATGATTTTTATTATACTAACTTTACAATAAATTTTTAATTTACAATAATTTATATAATGCATTTTCAATAATACATATATAAGAACCTATTATCAAATATTATCTATCTGTGTCGACTTTCCGCATGTGCAAACTTTCTTTTGCTTGGTTCAATTTTGAGTTTAGATTTTAACTACTTACCAATTATGTCTCTAACTGCATCACCAAGCCAAACGATCTACACACGGAATTTTGATTTGAATAACCCTATTTTGGGGCCACAACAAAATTCTCTATGGAGCTCATCTGGCTTTGTGATGCAATTAGAGATATTAATAGGTAAGCAAATCATATCTAGCTTGAAATGGAACAAAGCCAAAGAAATATTGAACATGCATGAAAAAGTCGACATAGACAGATGATAATTATTAATAAATTCTCATAACTGGATTTTATAAATCTATTATATAAATTACTGCATCATAGAAACAGGAAACTTTAGCACGTTACTTTTTTCGAGGAGCTAAAAGTGCAGGATGCTCCTACAAAATAAAAAACAAGCAGAAATAATCAGCATTAACTGGATTTTACAATTTTGGTGACATTTCTATAAATTGGGCTTGATGGGTCCCTAAATACAAGACCATTCTTTTCTTAATCAAATTGTGAAAAACTAAAATCTTGCATTTAAAGAACTGAACAAAAACTGCACATTTAACTACTTGTCAATTACTTCACTCCTACTTGTCAAACACAGAAAAACAAAAGGTATGTGGAGTCAGCTTATGTAATGAGACTAAATTCTTTCCTTGAACAATCTTAAAGGAGAATAATAATTTTAAAGGTGTGTTCTCCTGCATCGATTATGGTGTGTATATAAACTAAACTGAGTTGAATAGTAAATTTGATATCATTAGATTAATTTAATCTATGAATATTATGTAATTATTGTTAGACTAAATATGTAAATTCTAAACACTACAATTTGAAAAATCAGGAAAATGTTATATATGTTCAGAAGTGTTCTGAGTTTCAAAAGGCTAAGCTGAGGTATGCTAAAAATTTTATTCTGCTTCAATGGCTCTCAAATTAAAACCTTTCAATTTGAAATTCTACTTGTTTGTAACTTTTCATAATTGTGAGAGTAAATAAACCTAGGCATTTTATATGAAGAGATTTGCAAATTATTTCATTTGGATGATTCTACCTAGGATTGAAAGGTTCAATCATCAAATTCTAACTTAATCAGTATCAAGTTATTTCTTTTCTGAAATCCAGCAAAGAAAAAACACACAACAAAAAAAAAAATGATAGAAAGAAGAAAGAAAACAAAATAAAAACCAAAAAAAAACAAACAAAAATAAAAAACGCAAAGAAACCAAACGCAGGAAACAAAAAGCAAAAAAAATAAAATAAAATGTCTGACTTACCTCTGCTATGAAATCCCACTTCCTTTCCCTTGCTCTTCTCTGAAAAATATTTGTCTTGAAACACTAAGATTTTGATTGGCATTGAGAATTTAAATGAAATGTCTGTAAGTTATTTTTGTATGTTTCTTCAATATTGCATTTATTTGCTCTCTATTAAATGTTTGATTCAGAAGGATTGGTTTGGGATTTATGCAGTGAAGGGTTATCATTACCCTAAGGTTGATGATTTGGGGTCTTTAGAAAAGTTGAAGGCTGCTAACTTCTTAGCCAAAGTGCTCAAAGTTGGCAATTGGAAGGTATGAAGGCTTTTTTTTCTTTTTTTTTTAATTATTATTATCTGTTATTTAATAGGAAATTTCTTTTTTATTAAAAAAATGTTTGAATAAATTTGTGCAGAGAGAAGCTAAAAATGAAAGTGATTTGGTAGCTAAATCTTACTATGCTAAAGGGTAGTTAGTATAAAAATTCTTGGAAAGTGGCTTGAAAATCAAAATTGAAATCCACTGGAATGATGTAATAGCAATAAGAGCTTTTATTCAAAAAAATTAGCCAGGAATCTAGAACTTGAGATTCTTTACTTTTGCTTTCCTTTTATTTGATATATATACAATAAGAAGCTTTTATCAAAAAAATTAGCGCCAGGAATCTAAGAACTTAGAGATTCTTTACTTGTTGCTTTCCTTTTTATTTGATAAATATAATATATTATATATATATATATGATTTTCGGGAAGCATATTCCATATATATATGATTTTCGGGAAGCATATTCCAACCTTATCACCAAACAGATTCAATTTTTCTTTCTTGGATTTTGCCACTATACTTGCAGTATTTGTGGAAAAAGACCCATATGCCAAGAAAACACAGTAAGGGGCAACCGAAGAATGATTTCACTGAGGCCAAGCTTCCACTTACAGGTTTATATAAAATTTTTCAGTGCATACTATTCTTGTACTATTTCCACTAACACATTCATCCTAATAAGTTTTAGTCTCAGTGTTTCCTAATTAAAATTTGCTTTTAACCTATTTAGAGAGATTATTTATCTGAAATGGAAATTAATGGTGCCAATATGTTGCAGAGGTTATTATCATGCTAAAAGTGAGTGACAAAAGATGGTGGAAGAATTCTACTGCCAGCAACACATCAAACAAACCTCTGATTTTGTAAGCAACATTAATTTTAGTATTACATATTTATTTTTTAATTTGTGTATTTGAAATTGGAAATGCAGGAAAAAAGATGAGCCTGCATTTTTCCATCAATCAAATTGATGATTAATGCAAATGGGTATTTTTTAAAACTTTTAATGCAGTGAGATTTTTACTAATTAATTGATCTCTGTGGTTATTTGGCAGTGTTCTGCTGTGTGTTGACATTAATGATACTCGATTTTACTCAGAGCCTTCAAATTTAGTTTTAAAGTAATAGATTGTTTTTTTTCATGTTGCTTCACGTGAAATGAATAATTACTTGTTGATCTTAGCTGCTTAGGTGAATGAAGTAAAACATCTCTAAAAAAGGTGAAAGTAAGAAAGAATTAAAGTAAATGACTAGACTACTCATTTAGGTAAAAAATTAAAGAAAGTTTGGAGAAAAAAAAAAAAAAGTTAGGACGATATTAAGTTCCAAACAGATTAGTCAGTCTTCGATAATAAAATCGGGAGACCGCTGTTTTTTTTTATAAAAAAAGAAAAGTAATGTAGCTTCTAAACCCAACAAATCATAATTTGTCAAAGCACTAACAGGACCACGTGTGAATACTCAAATTTTGAGGCTCAAAAAGCCAGTTTTCCCGGCCGCGGCGGTGGCGGACCAAACCTTCTGAAAGGAATAAGTCGAGCACAAAGAATAACCCATTGCCACAATACCAGTTGTGAACACCCAAATTTTGAGGCTCGAAGAGCCATTCTTTTCGGACTGCAAATAGCCCGGCCGGCCCAAAGGCCATTTTGGAAGTTCACCGAAAGGTATTACCAATATGGTACTTGGAAACGGTCCGAAACGTCGCGAGGATCAGGAAACTGGTCCCGGAATATTTTTGGAGCCGAAACTCCCGAAAAAGCCTCCGAAACAAGATAAGAAGCACGGGTCGAACGTGCCCGCCTTCCCTGAGGCGGGCACGCCTGCGCCCCCTTGAGGAGGGCACGCACCGCCCTCGAGGGCAGGCACGCCCGCCCCCTTTGAGGCGGGCACGCCCGCCTCGAGGCAGGCACGCCCGCCTTCCAGGGCGGGCAAGACCGCCCTCGAGGCTTCTTTTTTCCTATAAAATTGGCCCCGGGGCCTCCATTTTTTACTCACTCAGTTCTGTTGTGACGGACGGCTCCTTCTCCCCTGCGCCTCCTTGCGTTTTCTTTTACTGCTTTTCTGCATTTTTAATTTAGCTTTTATTGCCTTCTTGCTTTAAAATTATTTGGCCCACTAAAATTAAATTAATTCTAAATTAATATTCCCTTAACGAGGAGGCTTAACCTGGAGTTAAGAAAAGCGGTCGACGATTAAATCAGGTACATGAACTAAAACTCAGCCTATTTAATTTTAGCACTTCATGCATATTTCTCTTTCTACTCCTTAATAACTCTACAAACTGCATTTAAACACATTCATGTTCATCATTAGGCAAAAAATAAAACTGCCTCAATTTCAAATGTGTATTAAGCCTTAAATATCCGGTTA